AAACTAAATAATAATATAACTACTCTCTCTCTCTCTCTCTCTCCCCCCCTTCCTTCTCTCTCTCTCTTCTCTCTCTCTCCCTCTCTCTCGAACGTCGATTATGATATATATATATATATGTATACATATATAATGCGTACATATATGTATATATATATAAATATACGACTTTTTTTTTTTAATTTTTCGTGTGTAACTGTATGTGCGTGTGCGCGCGTAAGTCTGTGTGTATGTCAGTATGTATGTATGTTACGTGTCGTGCATATTAGATTGCGTTCGCATGTGTCTGTCGTTTGGACGTGTGTATGTACATGTGTGGACATGTGTGTAAGCGTATGTTTCAGAAGAATATCTTGCATCTAAGAGTGAATTTGTGATTTGTGTTTGACAGGATGAGTGATGTCTTGTGGAGCAACAAATAATATCATACATATATACTGGCGCTAAGATTTATCGCGTCTCTATACGAAAGCCGGGGTACAGATGTAGGGGTACTGCGTGATGAAACTGTGTGAAAAATTTTGTATGCGTGTGTGTGCCTATATACTTATATCCGTTTCGATAAATCGATAGCTCACGAAGAGAATGCACTTTTGACAAGAAGGAAGAATTTTTCTCGCTTTTCTTTTCTTCTCGTATAAAGAGTACGACAAACGGATAATAATGATTTGGTGGGATGTTCGAAACGAAACAACACACGTCTAACAAAGACACTTGCTGAACGATCTAATATATATATATATATATGTGTGTGTGTGTGTGTGTATAAAAAAAAGAGAAATACAAAATAAAAAATAATATTAAAAAAATAAAAAACGAAGGGGGTGAGTCTGGCTGAGAAACTACCAAGACACCCGCTATACAGAGCTGCGGCTCGAACGATCCGAAAAAATATCTTCTTTATATCCAATCATCCGTTACATCCAACATTGGATGACGCGTATTTTATATGTATATATATATATGTGTATATATATAATATATACTTTATATGTAATATGTATTAATAATATACCTCGATTTGTTCGGAGCTGCGACTTGAGCATATCTTCGTTTAAAAATGGCAACGATTGACAAGAAGTTTTCGACGATATAAAAGAAACAAACGAGAAAGAAACGAAGGGAAAATAAACAGCTTCGCACAAAAGTAGTGAGAGTAGTTAGTAACAGAGTACTAAATAACGAAGAAGGATCACGTGACGAGTGAAAAAAAGCGGAGGAAGGAAGAAGATAGGTTCAAATCGAATTTGAAATCATAATATAAAACAGAAGATATATATATATATATATATAAGAAGCAATAGAAAGAAGGTCCATGTGGATCATCGAATATGGATGATCCTTTGGCTCCTCCCTTAACTCTCTACTCTAGTTTCGTTCCTCGGCTTTTTTCCTCTCCTTGATGTCCAAAAAAAAAAAGTGGGCCAAAGTTCGTCTTGCTCTTGAGCGATAAGGATCGTTTGTCCAGCTTTTTTCCCTTCCGAATTACGCGATTACACGAACGAACAATGTTTCTCGATGAAAGAAGGAAAAAGAAAAAAGAAAAAAAAAAAGGAAGAAAGTGAATTGGAACATAAAGACACGTACCGGTCACCCTCTCGTTCCTAGTGAAGGGCGAGCATCGCAATTTCTTATCCCCCTATACGCTGATGGCGCGGCTTATGACCTTTATCGTTCTATCGAAATCGCAAGACATATCAAGGACATACGCGAAGATAGAACGAGAAAAGAGATAACTATAAATGGAGAAAAAAAAATATACGCACTCGTACTTCTTTCTTAACGAGAGGGCAGAGGTGACGCGTACTAATGTCGTTAATAATATATATATATATATATATATATATCTATATGCAATATAATAATGCAATATAATATAATAATATAATTACGACTGTCGAGAAAGAAAAGGTAAATGTACACGGGTCGTCGATCCCTACGGTGAAAGATACATCGGTTTAGTATTCCTTTTGAAAGAGCGAGTTATTACTCGGATTATTATTTAGGGCTCGAAGAATACATTTAGAGGGGAGGAATAAAGTCGACCGCACCCCGTGGGGATCGACCGACGGCGTTTCTCTTTTTTCTTCTTCTTTTTCTTCTTCTTCTCCTTTCTTTCTTCCTTATTCTCGTTTTTTTTAGCGATCAGGGAGAAGCCGGTTCACGCGTACCCGCGATGCGCCCCGTATAACCTTAAAACATTTTTTTTTTCCTTTTTGTTTCCCTTAAGCGCCATCTTTCTATTTTTTTCTTCATTTTTCCGTTTCTTTTTTTTTCCCCCTCTCTCTTTTCGCCGGTTTTATTATTCCCCTTATAGAACTCTTAATAATAATTCCCTTTGTAACCGGCGTGTGCAACTGTCCCTGACCACCCGTCGTCCCGTCGACGTGAAACGCGCGAAAAATACAAAATCTAAATCTCCTCGATAAAATATCATCCATCTTACTGTCGTCAGACTTTTTTTTCCTGACACCATATATATATATAATATATATAATATATTTATTTATGTTATATATATATAATATATATTATTATTATATTATTATTATTATTATTAATATTATTATTATTATTAATATTATTATTATTATTATTATTATTATTATTATTTCAATTGCTATGTCGCTTATATAAAGATAAGATAATACTCTAGTAGCGAGGGAGGCTGGGTGGAACGGGCACGCCGTTTTAATAATACTATCATCTATAAGTAATTTCGCGGCAAATCGAGGGACACGTGACCACTCACCCTGTTTCTTTTTTTTTTTTCCTTTTCTCCTTTTTAATCTCTTTTCTTTTCGTGCGATGTGTGCCTGTATATATATATATATGAGATCGGCTGTTTGTAATATGTGTGGTACGTGTGTATTTATGTATAGGTATGGGTGATAGTGTATCGGGTACAAGTTACGTCAAGTATTTGGGCAATTTGTTCGGTAATCGTTCGCTGCGATTATGTAAACGATAAGCTCGCAGGTCCCGGAAGTCCAAGTTGCGTCGATGCATCTGCCGATAGTGTCGCAATATAGTGAAGAATGAAGAATGAAAATTTTTTTCACTTGTCATGAGATGAAAAGAGTGATCAGAGAAGAATAAATATTTCAAGGATATCCCGGATTATATTATTCGCTAGTCGAAATACGCAGCAATTGGGATTAATTATTATTTGATTAATATATAAATAAAAATAATAATGAAAAAAATTTCAAAAACTTAACTATCGGAGGATGTACGACGATGTACGACCTTCCTTCGTCATCTATTCTCTTTTTATACTCCGATTTATATCCGTTTGATTAACACATCAAACACATTTCCCCTACGATCACGTGATCTAACCCTACGTTTATTTTAGCTTAGAGAGAGTTTATAAAAGATACGAAAACACTTTAAACGTTTTCTGAGATTCACATTTTGTTACAAGGAAGAAGAATAATTACGGTCTCTTAATATAACGTCATGCATCCCGTTTTCAAGTCTTTTTCGTTTTTTTTTTTTTTGTTTTTTTTTTTTTTTTTTTTTTTTTTTTTTTTTTTTCCTTAAGACGACACGATCAGCTGTTCGTGCGCCGCCATTTTTGAATTATTGGCCACGCGATCGTAGGAGACACGAAGAGCGTAACGATCGAGAGAGCGAATGACCTCTGCTACAACTGCGCTTTTAACCTTTCAAAAGCATGTCTTTACTCGTGAAAATCGAAGCTCGTAATTCCCATATATATATATAAATACGTTCAGAACGATAAATAGGACGTTTACCACGAATGGTACGTTTTTTAAATAAAAATATAGAGTTCGTAAAAATTTTTATATATCAGTGTTTGCAAGCACCTTTGACATAGCGTTTTACAATATTTCGCGGATAATGACGCGAATAGAAATTACAGCTTCGATATTTCACGCGCGATACGGTGGAAGAAGGATAACATACAAAAATATTTAAAAACTATCCGAATTTCGTTCCCGTACACACACATATATATATATATGTATATATATAAGAACACCGATCCTCAATCGTGGATTGTCAATTATATAAAAATAATAACGTCTATGCTAATTAAAAAATGTTACATCGATAAAAACTCGATCGATTCGATTAAATTCGTCCATTCCATTATCTAGACTGCCTTCGATACAAAAAGAATTTGTAGAAAAATACGAATATACCATATGATGATGATGATGATGATGATGATGATGACAATGACGATGACGATGAATACAATCAGCGAATGGAATGTTATTGCAATCGAAACGCACTACCTTCGCGTTTGATTCCGAGCTAAATTAAGTAGCACCTCGATGGTCATCAACTGCTGATCCTCGGCTACTGATGAAGGTATCAGAATCAGTGCGTGTCAAACATTTCCCGATATTTTCGAAGGCAACCCCATAAAATACGGCAAAGCCAAACGAATCCTTCTTCCACGTTACAGGGATCGCCGCGTTCACGATTCTCGACGCTAAGATAAAAAGATCGCGCCCGTCTCTCATTGCTCTCCGTTACGCGTCAGTCAAGCTCGATCCACTTTGTAAATCTCTTCTTCCTATTATTATTTCTTTACGTACACACGTACAAACCTGCGAGCCGGACTATAAGCTACGTACGTTATATTATATCGAGGGTAAAAGTATATGAAAAACGATGACAATGAATGAGCGAGTATGTTATTTTATATCCCTTTCTCTCCCTCTCGTTCTCACTTTCTTTCGCGCTCTCTTTCTCTCCCTCTCCCTTTCTCTCTCGCAAACACACATTACCTTTTTTCCCTCTCTCCCTCCTCCTCTCTCTCTCTCTCCTCTCCTCTCTC